ACAACCCATCAACACAGGAGGAAAACAAAAAAAAAAAACTTGAGGATCACCTTCTCACCGATGCTCATATTTGAATATTCTTCTGCTATCTCTATGTCACGTTTGACAAAGCCTCAGTGGCCAAGTTGCCAGCGTAACCCTAGCATGAAAACTTTTCTGGTTCTAATGAGACGGGGTAAGCCCAGCGAAGCCCAAACTGGCGAATCATTCACCATGTCGTGCGTGCGATCTAAATCCGCACTGGAAGCCGGCAGTAGTCCAAGTGTGCGTCGGCAAGGCCAGAACCCTCAACGTGACACAGTTGTTTCGCAAATCGCGAAGGAAAATTATTGCTTTTTACCGCAACAACTTGTACATGCGCCTCGAAGCCCGCGGTGGCTCCTTGCATGCTTGGGACCGACCTTCGGAGCTACTGCGAGTTAGCATGTCGCACCTGTCAACAATGATGGCCCTGGCCTTGTCTACTTTGTGCCACGCCAGCTGTTTTCTTGAGCTGCTGCCGATACACCGAAGAGACCGTGGACATGTGAACATGTCCACTTTTGCAAGCTGCGCAAAGCAATATGAAAAGATGCGAGGTTTTGCAATGCCGAATGAAAATGAATGATACATGTGCCTGAGAGATGCCATGGTGTTGGAAACAGTCTGTGATCACAAACCAGCGTTTGCTCGAATTGTCGTCATTTCTGTCTGTTTGTAATGATCGTACTGCTCATGTCACGTTTTTTGGCACGGCCTGGGTTGCCGCACTTTGAGATATGATGTATGCAGGGATTACCCGTTGTGGCCATTGGGCTCTGAAAAAATGGGCGGCCAGAGACGGTCACGGTGCTCACAAGAGCGTGTGTTCTTTCCAAGTGGTTTGCGAATTGATCGCACCGACCTTACTTGGCATGCAGTCTGCGGGTCAGAGCACGGGGAAGATGCAAAGCTTAGCGTCGTGTTGTTGGGTTGCTGTGAGGTCGGGTGCGTGTGCTGTGCCCGCTTCATACAGTCGAACATGCTCACATCAGGCAGACGGTTGGGTTTGCGACTTGATTGCTTCGGGGGGCTGGCCAGCTTTGCTAGTGTGTGCACCTGGGTCTGCATCCGGTTGAGCAACCAGATGTGAGACATTCATTTATCTTGCCAGTTTCACTAGGCTGGGAAACAAAAAACCAGGAATAACAACTGAATGACACAATCCGAGATTCCGATGGCTTGCGAATGTTGTCGGGAGGATCACTGCCGCGTGTGCATGCTTGAAGGTCTCTTCTTTTTGCTGTGCCATCCCATTGGCATGACAGCCTATCGTCAGCAGCTGCCGAGTGTTGTGCCGACTCCAGGGTCCCGACCCCAGTTTTAGGGTTTAGGGTTTAGGGTTTAGGATGGCTGATTGATTCAATCTTCTGTTGTCACATGCCCGTGTTTCAAAGGACTGAAACACCCGCAGCAGCCCGATTCATCAGTGGGCAGAGGGCTTGGAGGGTAGAGCGCAGTAGCTTGTGCATGAAGGAGTGGTGCGACTGCGTGTTTTTCCCAGGCCTTGTGATGTTGAAGATTGGCTTCCCAGCGTAGAGCAGCTTCAGCAGGAGCCTCGGGTCCTATTCGGACTGCCCATGATCGAATGTCTTGGCGCTCCAGGTCAGCTTTGTTTGCAAACGTGCCGGGCCTGGTTTGGTCTGAGTCGGATGGTGATAGGTTCCACCAGACGATATATTTTGCAGGAAGAGTTCTTGCAAGAGAATCGTGGTTTCTTGCTGATTGGCTCGAGCCGGTAGCATGTGTTTGTGGGAAGAGGCCGGAGCTGGAGCAGGAGTGGAACACTTGTTTCCTGAAGACCTCGGGGAGGTGGCAGATCCCAAGTCCTAAAGCCCTAAATGTTCAGTGTGCGTGGCGTTTGGGCGCAAAACCGTGCATCAGCCGATCAGCCAATCAGCCGATCGGCCGATCGGCTGATCGGCTGATGCGCAGTTCGGAAGCCGACTTTGCGAGCAACGTGTAAATATTGCATATGTCCGTTTGTTTGCACTTCCACTTCTGTCCTCTTCCTGCCCATGATGCTGCCCGTGCGGCCCTCCGCTAGGCTTAGAGGTTTCGGTGTTACGGATTTGACGCTGTGCCTACGGGCTTCGCCAGGAGCTCATGCCAGCAGTGGAAGATGGCTTAGGCCCTGGCTCCTTCGAAGATGGTGCCGAGCTGGCCAGGAGCTGCAAGTGTAGGAGTGGGGTTTAGTGGAGGTCTTCGCCTGTCGGGCAGTTTGATCTGAGGGCTAGAACGGCCCAAGCTGGAGACTACCCAGTAGGCGATCATCCGCCGAACCACTCAAGATCGCTTGAAAGTGGTTTCTGAAACTTTGGAACTTCGACTTTGGAGGGCCGCCGGGCGAGTCAGTCAGGCACAGGCCGCCCATGTGTCGTGAGCTTCAGAGACAACCTGCTCCCAAGAGTTGTCGCTTCTTTTGTCCATGCTCGCTCGCCTGCTCAAGTTCCGAAGTCTCGAGCATACAGGCCTACGGCTGGAATGACACGAATCACCCTGGCTGTACAGGACGTCCATCCCAGAGACAGCCACCACCGTGCTTCTGGGCGAGTGCACGCATGGAACGGAGGAGTTTTACCAGATCCGGGCTGAGTGCCTCCGTCCCGCAGGCTTTGAGATATAGGGGCAGTGATGAAGAGTTGAGGAAATTTGAATCGCTTAAGTCGAACATCATCCAGTGTGGGAGTGGTACGGGTGAGTGGCAGTCGCACTGCTCTTGATCGTGATCCGAGGATTACCAAGTATTTGATGCAAACCAGGGGATTCAACATCATCTTGTGCGAAAGTGATTGGACTTTCATGTGGCACGTGAACCAGTACGTGCACCGGAAGAAGAGCAATATGTTTCCAGACGCCACTCGCTTTCCAGACGCTTGGTTGATTTTGGTTGGACGGTATCTGAGATGAAGAGCACACGCGCCAGCAAGAACGGTCAGGACTGATTTCCTGCATTTGCTTGTGGTGCGTTGCCACCATTAACCCGCATCCCGCTGTCATGATCAGTCTTCTGACGACCGCACCATTCTGCCATTATTGTTGATTCTGTAGTGATAGTCTGATAGTCCTTGCCATGACAATATGCATTTCTATTGCAAGTTGTTGCTGCAGTTGCTACCGCCAGTACTTCCACGATCATTGCAGATGCTGTGGTCGCCGGCGATTTTCGCCAGTTCTACTGTGCAAGACGCTGGCAAACAAATTGAATAACAGCTCATGCTTCACAGAAGTAGCAGCGCCGGAAATCAAAAGCTTCATATTGAAAGAAAAGCCGCAGCTTTGAAATCAGCTGTAGCAAAGCAACTCGTCAGCAGGGTTCTTTTCAAAACATGTTTGGCAACAACCACATCTGACAAAAGGTCACAAAACAACGATATGGTTAGATTTTGGTCGCCTGTTTGCGACAAGGATTGGATGTGGAAAAACCGCCCTTTCTACGAGCTGGTGGAGTGGATGCGTAAACGCGCGTCCTCGGATGGACCCTATGTCTTCGGGATGGACTGCTACTGCAAAGAGGAGGCCAAAGACGAGGTTCTCAACTTCTTCGATTTCTATGATCGGGAGAACCTTGGGAAGGACCGCCTTAATAATAATAAAAATAAAGATAATAATACTAATAGTACTAATAAAGTAGTAATAATAACAAAACATAATAAACAATAATAGAAATAATAGTTGAAATAATATGAATAATAATTAATAGTAGTAGTAGTAGTAGTAGTAAAATTAATCGAAAATAAATAATAACAACTATCAAAATAGTAGTCAACATAAGTCAAAATAGAATTGAAAATAGTAATTACAATAGTAATAACAATAATCTTAGTAGTACTCAGGTTGGAAGGGTAAGTCCTCAAACCCGATTTTGAGGTTTGAGAGGGGAGAGTGTCAGAGCAAGGAGTTTCGCCGTACTTTGTATCCGGCGGAGCAGCCAGACAGGTCTTTGCCTTACTGTGGGATGGAAACACCGAGAATGCCCAGTAACTGTCCTTTTCTCGTGTTCGGAACTGCTGGCATAAGTAGGCCTAGGCCGACGGGCACTCATGCAGGGAAGCTGCTTTGTCGCTTCAGTGCATGTTCCCTACGCTTCGAACGGCATTCTGGGGTGACCGCACCATCCACTTTCGGCTTGGCCAGCCTGCTACGCACTGACCTCTGCGAGTGAGCTTCCAAAGGAGTGCTTCATTCAGCCTAGGTCTAGAGCCTGAGGTTTGCAGACAAAGGGGTCAGACCATGTCTTCTACCACAGGACCAGCCAGGAGAGAATTTTCCTTAAGCGAGTCTTTTTTGCCCTGGCCATGAGCCCCAATTGGGGGTTCCTTGCGCCGCTTGCGCCTCTCGGGCCCTGGGCCGCTGCCCCTTTGCCTGCGCCAAGGCGCGCAGGTGGGCCAGCGCGGCCCGCGCTGCGAGGCTTCGGAGCTCCGGCACGGCGGCCCGGCGTCCGCTGCCAGGCGCAATGGGAGGGCGGTGACGCGAATGTCACGGAGGTCGCAGACCTCGCGGAGGCTCACACGCCGGCAAAGGCTGAAGAGCCATGGACACTGCAGCAGCTCATCTCGATCGTGAGTGGCTTCATTGGCTCCATCTTGTCCCTGAACGCATACTCACAGCTTCGAGAGGCCAGCAAGCAGCGAGAGGCAATTGCGCGTGTGAGCACAAAGCCGAAGGCATCTTCAAGCAGCTTGGGCAGCTACAAGAACGCTCGGATTGTGCAGCAGTTGGGAGGCTCTCTGCTGGATGCGGAAGCAGAGTCTCCCCTTTTCTCCTTAGGGCCGGTTCCAGCTTGCACAGCAGCTTCGAACTTGGATAGCCCGGGCCGCCACTTCACGATCATCACGACTGCAGCACTCCCGTGGCGCACGGGCACTGCCGTGAATCCGCTCCTGAGGGCTCTTTACCTGGCCGAGAGGGGAAAGCCTGTGATCCTGTACCTGCCGTTCTTAGAGGCAGAAGAGGATCAGGCTTGCGTCTTTGCCAAGGATGTGCGCTTTGACACCCCTGAGGAGCAGGAGGTGACTGTGCGGGAGTGGTGTGAAGAGCGAGCTAAGGTGGACCTGCGCAAGGTCGATCTCAAGTTCCGATGGTACCCTGCTAAGTACGTGATGTCCTTGGGCAGCATTTTTCCGACTGGCGACTGCACGAAGAGCGTTCTGGAGACTGACCCCAAGGATGTCTTAATTCTTGAGGAGCCAGAACACCTGTGCTGGTTTCACTATGGCCAGCGCTGGCCAAATTTGTTCCGGCACGTTATTGGAATTGTGCACACGAACTATTCGGATTACATGAACATCGTCAACTCCTCCAGCAGTTGGGTGGCAGGAAGAATGCCTGTGGAACTGAAGGAGGCCTCAGTGTTTACAGCCTCGACCATCGTCTGCAGTGCCTACTGCGACGTGAACATCAAGCTCTCAGACACCATCATGCCTCTCCCGAACGAGGTCACCTGCAACGTCCACGGAGTGAGGTCTGACTTCCTGGCAATCGGTGACAGGAGTGGCAGAGCACTGTCCAGCTGTCAACGTCGTTGCATCAATCGGAACCCCTTGAAATGCAGTTTGTCATGCTGCTGTCAGACTCCAGGGCTTGTTTGGGTACATGGTACGTGGCAGGAAGCATAGTCAGAGTGGGGCACTTTCGTGGGACATTGATCGGCGCAGATTTGTGCAGGAGCCACGTGCAAAGAGAAGGTGCAGCTCGTGCCTACTACCTGGGCAAGGCCAGAAAGACTGCCTCGTCTCGAGTCCAATGTAAAATGTGTCGGCTGCTGCGTTGGTGTTGGTGCTGTTTTCGTTGTCGTTCCTGCGCTGGTTCTTGCGCAGACCTGGCATAGCCATAATTTGGTCGACCGCTGCTGCTGCTGCTGCCGCTGCTGATGCTGCTTTGCTAGTGCTGCGACGACGACGACGATGCCACCGACGGCGAGGAGGAGGAGGACGACGACGACCACAACGCATTGTGAGAATACTCCGCACCGATCCGGTGCACCTCTGCTTCCAGTCTGCTGCTGTCTTCTTTGAACCTAACGGACCCAACAGCATCTCCTGGAAACAGGGCGGAAACAACCCTGATCACGGCACTGTGGCTCCACGAGCAACCTGTCGCCAGGCACTCTATCCGAAAGGTTGGCGAGAGCTCTTAGACCTCATTGTGGCCGCTGGGTCCGATCTGGCCGGAATCAAAGTGGACCCTTGGCTGCGTTGAGAAACTCCATGAAACAGCTTCTTGCGGAAGAGATATCGAAACTGCGCTGAAAGTTGCCGGCGCATTTGCATTTTCCATGAACCTGCAGGATGGCTATGGGTCAGGCTGGTGACCTGGTGTGGGTTTCGAGGGCCTTGCGGAAAGTTGTCGTTCTTTGCTGGCCGCAGAGCCACCGACAGGTCCGGATGGCGAGAGTATCACACTCGAGGCGGCATCCCTGCCTGAAAATGGAGCACTGCTGAAGATGAACCCGGGTATCGACCATGCAGACGAGACGATTCATGGGCACCTGCGATTGTTTTGAAGATGCTTCCGAGTTTTCTGTGGGATTCCGGGGGCAGCTTGCACTTTGCTCCTCTAGGGCTAGGGCTCCATAACTGGAGGTATGGTGTCCTGGTCAACCCATCCACCACCGACGTCTTGTGCACCGTGAGCGTGGAAGCGCTTGCCATGGGGAAGCACCTTGTACTGGCGCGCCACGTGTCCAACCGGTTCTTCGAGCAGTTCAAGGCTTTCGCTGCATCCAAACCCCCCCATGCCTACACTTATCCTATCCGGGCTGAGGTTCACCGCTTGCGATTGTTACCTGTCGAATGTGAGTTGAGAGGCAGAGGAAATGTTTCAGCAGGGTATTCGCGGAGAACTCACTCCGTCTGGGTCTCGAAATCCCACCGATTCTGGACACCGTAGCTACAGCCAACCTCCTTTGCTCAGAGCGCAGAACTTCATTTTCGCTTGGCAGAACCGGCCTACAGTCCGGTAAGTCTGCGCAGCAGGTGCAGTTCAGCCTCGGACATACCCAAACAGCCACATTGCAGTGCTGTGGCTTTTTGAGGACAGATGTCACTTCTTCGAGATCGGCGATGCCGACAGCTTTGTGAGGGCCTTCAAGACTGCTTTGGCTGCAGGCCCTGCCCTGCACAAACCTCTCACCCTCTCTCGCCCTCTCTCGCCGTCTCTCGCCCTCTTACCGGATTCTCAAACCCGTTGGTCCCGACAGGTGATCCCACGCCGCTTCCACCGGAGCAGCGGCGCATCCTCACTTGGGATGCAGCTATAGATCGCCTTTTCGAATCCGCCGAGGACAGTGTAGAGCTTGGCCGCGACTGATGAGCTTGGGCTTGTCTGACAGCTTCGAACTCTAAAAGGCGAAGCTGTTCGAGTCGTTAGTCGCCCTAAAGACAAGCTTGATCCCGAGCCGGGGCTTTGTTGCAGAAGGTTTTGCAGAAGCACAGATAGTGTTCCTGTTGCAAGAGCAGCAGATTGCCACTTCGCACAGGTTCGTGTCCTTTCAGGGCGCTACCAGCGCCCTTCCGAAGCAGCCGCGTCCAGACTTGCCTACCAGATGCATTTCGACATGTTCAAGGATGGCTCTGTCTTAGCTGACGTTGTCCGCCAGGTTTCGTTCCCTGGCTGCCGTTCAGAAACTGATCTGTTTGAGTTGCATGCTGCCCAATCTTCCGTGAGTAGTTCATTTAATGCCATCGAAGAGCTGTTATGTCGGATCTTGATGCCTTTTGGTGCAGATGTTCGTGGACCCTGGAACTTTTGATGCAGGTTTGGCTCGGAGTATGCTGAAACTCCGTGGGATGAGCACCTTGGCCCACTGCTGCTAGTGTTACGACGACGACGATTACTACTATTACTATTATTTTTCGTTTTATTATTGCCCTTACTTCCATCACTATTAAACAATTAGTATTACTACTGTGACTACTACTGCTGCTGCCACTACTACTACTACTACTACTACTACTACTACTTCTTCTACTACTACTACTACTACTACTACTAAGACGACGACGACTACTACTACTTTGTTTTATTACAACAACAACAACAACTACTACTACCACTACTACTATCACTATTATTACTATTACAAAAGCAACGACAACAACAACAACTACTACTACTACTACTATTACTACTACTACTACTACTACTACCACTACTACTACTACTACTACTAGTAGTAGTAGTACTAGTAGTAGTAGTAGTAGTAGTAGTAGTAGTACTACTGCTGCTGCTGCTGCTACTACTACTACTACCACTACTACTATCACTGTTATTGCCATTACAACAAAAACAACAACAA